TCGTGGATCCTGGGCTTGAAGAAGTATTTGGTTGGGGAGATCCGGGACCTGACACAAGAAGATGCTAAGATTTTTGGATCTATTGCTATGAATTATGAAGTGGATCAGTCAGTCGGATCTACTCTTCTACTGCCCGGCGACTAAGGAGGCCGCCGCGGATCGAGACAAGTTGATGCGCTTGGTGGTACCTGAGATGCTTCAACAAGACATTTTGCATCACTATCACACGAGCTTGCAGGGTGGCCATCAAGGAATTGGCCGGACTTATGATCGGATCCGCGATCATTTCCACTGGAGAGGGCTGTACAAGAGTGTACAGCGATACGTGGGAGAATGTGTCGACTGTGAAACAAGCAAAGGACGACCCCGGATCCAGGGTGAGTCACCTGGTAACCTACAGGCGACATACCCATTCCAGATCATTGCCATGGATCATGTACCTTCATTGGCTAGATCCTTCAACGGCAACACCGAGTTGTTGATCTTCGTGGATCTATTCTCGAGATACGTGATCGCCAAAGCCAGCGCCTCTAGATCCGCTCAGACAATCGCTGAGACCTACAAAGAATGCGTCTTTCGCCGATTTGGTGCGAGCGAGGTGATCCGGCACGATCGGGAGCCAGGCTTTATGTCTGACTTCATTAAGTCTTTCAACAAGATCCTGGGGCAACGTCAACGGGCCACTATGGCTTATCGACCCCAAGCTAATGGATCCGCAGAGCGTATGGTCCAAACAACTACCAGGGCTCTAAAGATGTATGTGCGAGATCTGGATCAACGAGATTGGGACGAATACGCTGAGCGGCTCACCTTCGCGATCAACACTGCAAGAGATCGGATCCGAGGTGAAACCCCTTTCTACATGATACATGGTTGGGATCCTAGATCCACCTTGGAATCGGTGATCCCGGTGGGGAGCACCCGCAGGCTCGGCTCGATCGAGATCCAAGAAGATGACGATACCGGATGCAAAGGTACTATCAACAAGCTCGAGAACAAGTGAACCAACGTTTACGCGAAGCGATCGCGGTTCGGGCCGACATACATAATGATCTAATACGTCCTCATCCTGTAGAGTCTGGATCAAGGGTCTGGTTATACCTAGATCGAGTGCGTGAGGGATATGCAAAAACGCTGGCGCACTTGTAGCATGGTCCATTCCGCGTCGCGGAAAAGATCGGGGAATATGCACTGAGGTTGGATATCGCAGGATCAACATACAGCATCTTCCCGGTAGTACATGTCTCGAAGGTCAAACTGGTTAAGATATTCCCAGATCGACCAGTAGCTCGCCTAGATGAGTCAGAAGGAGATCGGGTGGATTTCGATGAAGCTCTCCTACCTGAAGACAGCTGGATCCAGGATTGGGATCCGGACGAATACAAAGTGAAGCGAATTTCCGATATGAGGACTGGCAAAAGGGCTAGATATGGACGGATCTACAGAGAATTTCTGGTACACTGGCGTGGATACGAAGATCCAACCTGGGTAGATGAGGCAGATCTTAACTGCGGTGCTCTGCTCTATGAATTCTTGCGAAATCGCACTAGTCGCAACTGTTTTGGTCTCACGAGGAACCGTGAGATCTGGATCCACGCTGGTGAGTTGGGCATCGGTGTGGTTGGAGGTTGATTGATCTGCAAGGAGGTTGCCGATCGGAGGACGGGATTTACGTGAATTTGTATATGATGACATGTCGAGGGAGGATCTGTGTGGAAAGAGATTGACTCAGAGCTTGACATGGATTGAGCAGGAACAAATTTCGATTATGGATCTAGGACTGTGTTATCTGAGAGATTGTGGATCAAATGGCGAACGACAAGTGTGGATGTATTATAGTGGGAACTGTGCGAATTAACGTGGTTAAAGACTTAATGGAAACAAGGACACTGATGAACGCAGATCTGAAACGAAAATGACATGTATTGCGATTAACGAAGTTGATCTGAAAGAAACGCATGGAGAAGTGTCAGGATCATGGCTGAGGAGGAAGAGGCGGCGTGTTGGGGTTCAGAGCTGCCATGTTAAAAAATTACCAGCGAGACGCGCGACTCGACGAGCAGGATGGCCCGCATGGTGCAGAGAGTTCGCCATGGATCTGCGGCGTCACACCCAGCGAGAGCCTAGATCAGATCTGCAGGATCGTGACGGTGCAGTTGCGGATCCGCGAGGTTGGCACTGCGAGCCTCGATCCCGGGATACCAAGCCACTTCATCCGTTCGCTTGGGAAAATGGAGAAAATAGGGATCCAACAGCAGATCCAGATCACACCTGCCCACGCGCATGGCGATCGAGAACAGTCGCAGGATCTGCTTCCACCTCGCGCCAGCGTGAAATCGACGGTTCTTCCTCTCCACAACGAAGAGCGCCAGGTATGGGTCGATATGGATCAACGCCGGCGAGACTGTAAAGCGGTGCGTCGATTCCCAGTAAGCGATCAGACCCTGGAACTCGACAGCCAAATACATCTCGATCAGGAATCTCAAGCGACCGACGACTGTGATCTCGAACGACATGAGCTCAGGAATGTTGGCGCCAGTGAGTACATTCCAGGG